CATGGATATACCCCACCTCCTCACAAAGTAGTCTCACATGGATATACCCCACCTCCTCACAAAGTAGTCTCACATGGATATACCCCACCTCCTCACAAAGTAATCTCACATGGATATACCCCACCTCCTCACAAAGTGGTCAAAGCTTAAAGAACACATTTTTGTGTTAATTTACTTTAGTTAAAAAGCTTTTATAAAATCTGGCAAATTATAATAATATCATTATTATGCAGTAGAGATCAATTTTCTCTGAGGTTTTTGGGCTATGATTATAGAACTTAGAAGTCCAGTAGCTGTAGTTGAGTGCATATATATGTATGTGTTATAGTATGTGTTATAGTATGTGTTGAAATAATGCATGTTAAGGATTGATATCTGTCACTTTTGCCAAGACAAATGAAATTAATTCTGTCTAAAACATAAAATCAGTAATGGAAGATCACAGTTAACGTTAATGACGTCCGAGTATGTGTCAGCTATAAAGCTATAAAATGTCTGGAGAAAGCAGCAGAGAGTTCCTTATCACTGCACCAGTTCTCCATAGCTCACTTAGGCACTGTATCTGGGTTCCATACTCCTCATGTAGGTCTATAAAACTCTTATGGCTCATCTCTGAAGGTTCGTCATAATCATTAGTGAAATCAAACTTTTGTCCAGCTTTCGACCCACCCGATTGTAGCGTATTGTTTGCTGTAGAGTTGAAAGGATTGAATCTTTGGTTGGTTATTCTTCCTTGAGTAACATTTGAAGGTTCTTCCTCCAACGTCAATCCTAGTAAGTCACTAAAATTGGAATCACCTGGGTCAGAGAAGGAGATTTTCTGGTAATGTGTGTGCACCATTTTACTATCACGTTTTGCCTGTTCCACAAGTCTTTGCTGCGTCTCGGAATTCATTTCCTCTATCTGTTGTTGCAAGTCTGCAACCATTAGCTTCATGTAATCGTAACTTGCGCATGCTAACACTTTCATCCATGCTTCCATTTCCTCCTGAGTATCTGCTGCAAGAGTGTAGGTACGGGAATGGCTTCCTGGAAATACGATCTGGAAAGTAAATCCATCTGTGTTCTCAGCTAGCTCAATTGTGCAACCTTCTAAGACAACCACGCCTATAGGTTCTTTATCCATCCTTCTCTCATAGTAGAAGAAGAGGTTGCCTTTTAACACAAACCATCGCTTCTGGAACCCCTTATTCAGTTCCCCTCTCTTCAGGAGCGGACCTTCCTTATCAGCAGGGGCCCCTGACGAGGCAAATTTTACCAAACTTTTCTCGTTAATTTTCATAATTCACATAACTTCGTGTACAATTTCAGTCAAACAGTTTTAATACTAGTCTGTTGTTTCTGCTACGTATCGGGGCATCCTGTGCACTGCTGTCATCAGGTCGCTGACCGAACGTAAACCGCCTGTTCGTGTTAGGCAGCTGTTCACGTTACCTGTTGTCCGGACGTGACTGTATTTTTCGTCAAATCAGCTCAACTTTAAATTATCTCAAATGGAGCTTTACCCTTGAAACAATTAATCGGTCACGATAGGCTAAATGCGTCTTCTAAAGTCCTAACCCTACTAGGTCAGGTGAGGAAAGATTGGAGAGTTTAAAGTTCTTTTCGGAACACCTCTTGACTTATTATTGAAAGTTATAAGTAAATAACGAAAAGTCCAAATACACACTCGACAGGTCATGTGATTGTCCAAAATGGCGGACATGTTATATTTGTTTTTGTTTTGTCTGTTTTTCGCCGCTGTATGCAATGGCAGAGAGCACTCAGCTCCCTCAGTGGCATACGTATCGTACGACATAAACAGACACGATTACACAATTGTCGACAGCACGGAACCGGGCAACTTTGTTGCGAAAGGAGTTTTCCGCAATGAAGTGAACACCACTGGGTAAGTATGAAGTTAGGAGGCTCCACACTTTCGCAATTAACCAGCAAAATTCGTTGAAACTTTCACAAAATGGTTATGCAATGTTGATTTTATGAAAAATCTAAGCATTCCGATAGTTTGGGGACTTTTTTTGGAAAAATATATATAAAAAAAAATTCGTCAATTGTTCGGAACAATAACAACAACAACAAAATGAAAAGAAGGTTTTTATTTATCGCAAAAAATATAACACACGTTACACAAAGTGTTTTTTATTGAAATTTGAACGTATAAAAGTAATTATCTACAAGCTAAAAACAAACAGGACACAAAGATTCATACATATTGAATGAGAAATTGAACAAAATATACACAATGGCTTTATAATCAATTTATTTTACATTTTAAAATCACTTTGATCCTGGTAAGAGTTGTCTTCCTTGAAAACAATCGGAACTTTTTGCAGAGGGATACAATTTACACAATGACAGTTATCTCTGTTATACATGTATATAACAAAAATGATGGAAATAAATCAAAATTATCAATTTATTGTTCTTTTATGGAACTAAATTACTCTCAGTCATGTAAACTTTGGACATCATTCCACAGCCGTTGACTCACAGTATATTTACATGTCAGGTACATATGTGCCCAGAGGCTATCGCATGGTATGCCATTCATGTGCACTCAAACATGCATTTTTATAGGGAACTTGATATTTTATAAAACTTTCTTTTCACAGAGTAATAACTAGACTGCATATGTAAAAACAATTTAATGGACAAAGCGAAACTATTAACAGTGAAAATCGTAACGACCTCGAGCTTGTGAACTTGTGTAAGCACGTGATATATGCACATGTGAGGTCAGTCCGCATTCAGTGTGTTTCTTATATGACCTTGTTGAGGTCGTCTGGTCTCATGTCAGTGTAATCCCGTGAGTCTGTTCATGTCTATGAATTGGAAGCATTATTTCTGAAGTACGTGTGATACACGTAACACATTTCCAGGTAAAAATTTGATATTGGGTTTTGACATATCATCGTCATGCACGTATACTATTGTTTACCAGGTGTTACATTCATTTGCACTACGATATACTGAAATGCCTGATACGCAATACGGAAATGATGACACGGTGTATATGCCCATTTTGATCGAGTTGATTGAGTCCGAGCTGTACTTTTCCGGAATTATGTCACAAAAATGGACGCTGATGACGATGTGTGGAGACACCTTAAGGTATTTCACACAGCATCATGTAAGTGTATATTTTTGTAATGGGCTCATAACTTTCCTCAAAATGAATAAAGTATTTCAGGGTTATTAGGTCAAGGTCAAGGTCACCATTACTATTTTTTGAATATCCTTGTCTGCGATCTAGTGGCTTAATTCCTTGAGGGATTTCGATCAAACTTCACACAATTACAAAGGACCATAATATCTCGGACAAGTTTGAGTTTCAGAGTTGTTTGGTCAAGGTCACCGTTACTATTTTTAGAAAATCCTTGTCAGCGCTCTAGCGGCTTCATTCCTTGAAGGATTTTGATCAAACTTTACACAATTACAAAGGACAATTATATCTTGGACAATTTTGAGTTTCAGGGTTGTCAATCATTTTATTATATAATTCCTCTATCATCAAACTAACATTACAATTTCTAGTATTATTATTACATTAAAATTAGTCACAAGCTAATTGTATACTTTTCATTTTCCCAAATTAACCCCAAATGGCACCATTTTTAGGTCACCTGAGCTTTAGCTCAAGTGACCTATTGCTATCGTTTTCGTCCGTCGTCGTCCATCGTCCGTCGTCCATTAACATTTTACATTTCAAACTTAAAGTCAAGTTCTGCTGGGCCGATTGAACTGAAAGTTGGTAGGAATGATCGCCTCATGGTCCTGACAAAGTGTTGTTATTTTT